TGTAGGTCTGCACCACTCACCAAGTTCGTCGAGAACGAGGGGAGGTACAGGCCAGACAGGGTGCCCGAGGGGGCAGCCGGACACGGGAGGACAGTGGAGAAGTGAGCGAGGACAGGACCCCCAGAGGGGTCAGCTAGGGAGACAGCAACCGGCCGACCAAGCGGCGTGAGTGTGGTGCGGTCCCGAAAGAAGGAGCGAGAAGCCCCAGAGTCAAGTGTAAAGGTGAGGGAGGCCGAAGCCAACGCGGTACCTGAGAGCGCAGCCTCACCCGCACCTGAGGAAGCAGACTCACTAGCACCTAGAGCAGCAGCCGCACCTGTACCTGGAGCAGGAGACTCACTAGCACCCAGAGCAGCAGCCTCACCAGTAGCTAGAGCAGCAGGTCCTATACCTGGGTCAGGCGGGACGCACAGGTGACCGGCACAGTCAGCACTAGTAGGCAATGCATACATGGCAGTGAGAATAGCATCATAGTCAAGAGCATATATATCTACCCTCTGCCTAAGCAACTCCACCCAGTCGGGAAGCTCAGCCTCGTCGCCAAACACGGTACGCCAGGCGTCGCTCAGACGGGCGAAGCAGCGGGACTGTGTATGACTACGTGTCCCACAAGGCTGACCAGTCCGAGTACCAGCGCGAATCACGTAAGAGCAGCGAACAGCACTGAGAGACCCTCCACTCTGAGCGTACCACTCACGAAGCTGGCGAGGCGTGAGAGACACGCGAGAGGGTCGCGGGAGCTGCATCTGGCCGCCACCACGAGTAGAAGCAGCAGGAGTGGAAGTAGGAGTAGCGTCGCCACCCCTACAGCCCCAACGAGCGTACCACTCACGCAGCTGCTGGGGCGTGAGGGACTCACGCAGGCGTCGCTGGGGCTGCATCTGGCTCCGCAAGTAGAAGCAGGAGCAGGACTAGCAACAGGAAGGCAGGCATCCAGGCAAGCCAAAAGGCAGGCAGGCAGGCAAGCAGGCGACGAGCAGCGTGCTAGCAGGGCAAGAGCTCACCAGTGGTGGGAAGAGTAGGCTCGGCGACTCAGCGGCTCGGCAGCTCGGCGGCTCGGCGGCTCGGGCGACTCGGGAGGCTCGGCGGCAAGGCGGCTCGGCAGCAACTGCAGCTCAGCAGCTCGGTGACTCGGCGGCTCGGCGGCAGGGCGGCTCGGCAGCAACTGCAGCTCAGCAGCTCAGCGACCCGGCGGCTCGGCGGCAGGGCGGCTCGGCTGCTGGGCGGCTCGGGTGCAGGGCGGCTCGGCGGTGGGGCGGCTCGGCTGCTGCAGGTGAGCGATGAAGGAGGAGGAGAAGCAGGGGAGGCCACACACCTGCCACCCCTCTGCTGGCCTCTCAGGTCCCCTCGACAGGCGACGGGAAAAGGGGGGGTGGGTGGTGGGGGCCGGTAGGTGCAGCGGCGGGGCCAGCAGGTGCAGTTGCGGGGCCGGTAGAAGGGGACGGCAGGAGCCGTCAGGAGGGGACGGCGGGGCCGTCAGGAAGGGACGGCGGGGCCGTCACGAAGGGACGGCGGGGCCGTCAGGAGGCGACCGGGCCGCGACGGGGGCAGGCGGCGGGGCCGCGTAAGGGCCTGGGCGGGGCCGCGACAGAGCCGTCGGCGGAGCCGCGTGAAAGCCGGGGCGGGGCCGCGTAGAAGCCGGGGCGGGGCCGCGCGAGAGCAAGCGGCGGGGCCGCGAAGGAGCCGGGGCGGGGCCGCGTGAGAGCAGGCGGCGGGGCCGCGTAAAGGCCGGGGCGGGGCCGCGACAGAGCCTGCTGCGGGGCCGCGTGAGAGCCGGCGACGGGGCCGCGTAAGGGCCGGCGGCGGGGCCCCGTCAGAGAGGGCGGCGGGGCCGCGTCAGTGAAAGCGGCGGGGCCGCAGGGAAAATGACGACCCGAGGGGTCGCTAAAAAAAATCGCGCCTCGGGGGGCGCTTCGGTGGGCCAAAAAAAAAACGGTCCGTAGAAGGACCCGCTCTATACCATGTGAGAATAAGCGAACAGGAATGAATGAACTAGCAGTGAAAATGAGTACAAGTAGGAAACCCTAGAATTGTGTACCCCCTATAGGCTAACCCACTGTAGCCTACACAAGCAGAACATATATAATGTTTGACACAAAAACCTCTCGCCAGCGCAAGGCAGGACTTTTGCAACTGATTCCACCGCCCGACCGCCTTTGGCAGGTAGTTACCATGGATTTCATCATAGCTTTACCGCGTACAGTTAGGGGTCACGACACCATCTTCGTGGTAGTGGATAAGTTCTCTCGAGCAGCGCACTTCATCCCCACGCACGGCAAGGTCATAGCTGAGGAAGTTGCGACGATGTTCGTAGATAACGTAGTCCGACTGCATGGGGTTCCAGATTCCATCATCTCATACCGCGACCCTCGTTTCACTTCGAAGTTCTGGAAGCAGCTTTTCGCATTGTTTGGGACTCGCTTAGCCATGTCATCTGCATACCATCCAGAGACAAACTGATAGACCTAGCATGTGAACCAGACCTTGGAGCAGATTCTTCGCAGCATCACGATGCACGACGCAGCCGCATGGGACAAGAAGCTGAGCATGGCCGAGTTTGTGAAGAATATAAGGTAAGTTGAAAGGAAGGGCCTAGGCTTAGTAGCCTAGGCCCGAACTTAGGTGTCGAGTAGGTTTTACCCTAGGCGAGGTATCGAGTGAGTTGAAGAGAAAGTTGGGGAATGATGGTTTCACTATAGGGTTCGAAGTACATATAGCATAGGAACCAAATAAGGTGCACCACCAACAACAGTTTAAATAACTACACTAACTACAACTACAAGCAGTTATAAAACATGACAAATATATTTCGACAGAGTTCGCCTACAACAACATGCACCACTCGTCTACAGGCATGTCACCGTTCTTCGCACTGTACGGTCAGCACCCTAATGTCTCCACTCGTGTCGATCTCACACCCACAGTCCCTCGTGCGGACAATTTCCACCGGCATCTCACCTTCATTCACGATCACGTGAGAAAGCACCTTGAGCTCGCAAATGCATGCATGGCACGCACAACCAACCGCAGTCGTCGTGAGGTGTCGTTCGCAGTCGGTGACCGTGTTCTTCTTGATAACCGCAACTTCCGACTGCCACTGGACAGCAAGCTTCGCCCTCGCTTCATTGGTCCATTCATCATTGAGCGTGCATTAGGACTAGTCGCATACCGCCTTCGCCTTCCCGCTCATTTTCGCATGCACTCGTCATTCCACATGTCGCTTCTTCGTCCTTACACCGATCCCAACGCCACCTTCTCGGGCCGTGATCGCACTCCACTGCCGGTAGCTCTTGACACCGACGAGCCCGACTACCAGATCCAGCGCATCCTCAGGCACCGTCGCCGTCTTCATAGGGGTGTCTCTTTCATCGAGTTCTTGGTTCGTTGGCGTGGTTACGACGCAGCAGACAACAGCTGGGTTCCTTCGTCCTCACTGTCTCCCGACAACGCTTGCCTCCAAGCGTACCTCCAGTCTGCAGGCGCCGCGGACGTCGCCTCCTTGGGAGGGGGGTAGTGTTAAGGGGGAATTTACTGTTCACTTTGAACAATATTTTGCAACTCACCCTTATACTTATCTTCCTAGATTTCCTAGTGCCACGTGGCACTCTACTTTCTTTGCCTTCTTGTTCCTAGTCCCACAACCCACTTTCCCACAATTGCTCTTGCATGCTATATCAACCTTGCATGTATTCCCTCATATCAACCGATTTTCATTCATCAATTACTCAGTTACTTCTTCGCCTATTTCGCCAACACATCTTTCGCCAAAGTCTTCCGCCGCGCTTTATCCTCAATTTAGTCAACCCCACCATTCCTTAGAGGATTTAGGCCAGTAACATTAAGTGACTCTTTTCTGTAGACTTCATTTTACAACCAATCAGATCGAGCCAACGCATGTCTTGAAAGAAGTTTCTCGTCCGCCTGCCATAGCGCAGCGTCTCGTGTGCACCAACGGTTCCGACCCGACCTGGAAGCCCGCGAACTCCAACTCTTTTGCATTCACTCCACGAGTCAGGCAGCCCGTACAGTGCAGCAAGCTAAGATATTTACTGTCATTTGCGTTGGTAAAGAATCACATCACTAAGTCATTCCCCTTCCTGCTGTGAAGCGCTGAGCTTTGCAAGCGCGCTGTCTAAGAAGGAGCTTCCATTGTCATAGAAGTACATCCCAGCAATTCTTTACTTGTCGTTGCAATCGCTTCATCCTGAAAACTGCTGGTTCTTCTTTGAGGCATGCGTGGTGCTACGTCACCTTCTCAAATGACGAGCACCTTCAGGGGTCATGTGAGCCAATTCCAAAGCATGGCGTCTTTGACCCTTTTCTCTGCTAGACACTCTGTTTCAAGGTTGAGCGCTGATTCGAGTACCCCTGCACAACGGTCGTGCTCCAGGTTTCAAGCAGTGTCACGCCAGTGCTCGCTCCACGTCAGGTCTCCACAACCGTCGTTTCAACGCGTTCCACGCGTTCCACGCGTCAATCATAGACCCGTGCGTCGCGTCAGATCACCGTATGTACCAATCGCTTCAGCGTCGAAATCGTCTTCAGGAGCAGAAACCGCTGCGAGCGATTCCAAACCTGGGCGAGACGAGGCTTCAAACGGAGCTGTCTCTAACGGAGCTGTCACTAATGGAGCTGCTTCAAACGGAGCGAGCAAGCTTAACTCTGGAGCGTCAACCAATGAATCATTGGCTCGGGAATTGGACATTTCAGACTTGGATTGCGTGTTAACGGGGATCAATGTGGAGTGTTTTCTTCCTAATCTCGCAGAAGACAGGGACACATGGGAACCTGCAGGAAAGCCATTGGTGGATCAACAGCAGAAGGAGGAAGAGGAGGAGCAGCAACGGAGAAGGACTATTCAGCAGGAGCAGGAGAAGGAGGAGTCAGTAGCAGTGGCAGCAGGAGACGTACAATCTGGCTCCTTGCTTTCTTCATTGAATTTTGACGGGATTTTGGAGACGATGTTGCTTATATCGCCATTCTTCTTCTGGGGATCGTCAATGGTGGCAATGAAGGTAGAAACAAAGCAATCAGCGGTTGTTTCTTGTGTAGGCCAATCTTCTTCTGCCATCATTGCTGACCATTGATGATCATTGTCCATCATTATATCATTCATTGTTGATAATTGGGATCGCCTGCATTGTTCGTTGAAAATGATCAGGACGTGTTTCCAAATGTAGGCCCGCCCACCTCATCCTGGCCAATCTGCTCCTCGTTGTCTATCCCTTTCCTCCTCCCCCTTCGCCTTTGCCTCTCTCCTCACCTCCTCCCCTCTACCCCATCAGGACGTGCTACCAAAGGCAGGTCCCATGTTTGTTGCCTCTATCCGCCTCATCCCAGCCGGTCTGCTCCTCATCACCTCCCCTCTCCCCCCACCCCTCTCCCCCCGTCAGGATGTGCTACCAAAGGCAGGTCCCATGTTCGTCGCCTCTGTCCGCCTCATCCCGGCCGGTCTGCTCCTTGTCGCCTTCGCTGCCAGCCGAGGCCGTCCCATGCCCAAGTCCGCCCTTGCTTGGTTCTCCATCCTCCTCTTCGCCCTCGTGGATGCCACGGCCTTCCAGGTATGCGGGCAGATAAAAGGCTTTGAAGTCTGTAGTTTGCGCTTTGCTCCTCGTCGCCTTTGCTGCCAGTGCCAGCCATGGCCGTCCCATGCCCAAGTCCGCCCTTGCGTGGCTCTCCATCCTCCTCTTCGCCCTCGTAGGTGCCACAGCTTTCCAGGTATGCGGAAACAGAAGAAAAGACTTCTACTTTGCAGTGTTCTCTGAGGTGTTTCTTTTGAGAATTCTCAAAAGCTTCCCTTCAGGTGCCTTTGATGCTAGCCGCAGGGGGCCTGCGGCGAACATCACCAGGGCTTGGATCAGCAAGCAATGTTCCTTTCTCCTCTCTCAACCCTCCCTTCTCCCCCCACTTCCTCAATGTGCACTGCACAGGGCTGTCTCACAGAGGGCTTGAGGCGAACATCAGCCGGCCTTGGATCAGTAAGCAACATATTTTTTTCCTTCCCACATTCTCACATTCCAATCTCTAACCATTGTCCCTTTTTCTTCCCCTTCCCTCGCATTCGCACCTCCCATTCATCCCAATCTCCCTCAAAAGACATCATTGTGATCTTTCACCTTGTCATGATGCCATGTCCTTACCTCTACCGTGTCAGCTTTCTTCGCCCCATCTCTTTGTCATGGCCCTCTGTGCTTGTTGGTTTGCGTGTGTGTTGTAAGCTATCTCTGCCTTTTGACACCTTCATAGCTCGTCTGCCAGACCATCATGGACTTTCAGCCTCTCAGATCACTCTTACTCAGATTATTCCTGCTAGTCATTTAATAACTCCTCTCTCAGTCCGTGCCTCCAAGCCTCATCCCCGTCTGCAAGGTCGTCATGGACTTTCAGCCTCTCAGATCTCTCTGATCGCCTCCCCTTCTTTCCATGCCTTATCCCTCGTCTCGCAAGTCATCATTGACTCTCAACCACTCACAGTGGCTGTGTTCTTCGGCAACCCTTTTGAGTCGACTCAGACGTCACACCTCATCTAATTGACTCCCAATCCATTCCTCCATGGGCTATATCCCCCCTCTCGCAGGTTATAATTGACTCTCAGCCGCTCACAGTGGCTGTGCTCGCAGCCATTCTGTTCAGAAAGGCATTTGACTCGACTCAAATGACCCTCAAATCTAATCGCCTCACTCGCTTCTCATTGTCCCCTCCCACCCCCTCCGGTATGCCAGGTCATCATTGACTCTCAGCCACTCACAGTGGCTGTTCTTGCAGCCCTTCTATTCGGCGAGACCATCTCCAAGAAAGGGGCATTGGGGCTTGTGTTGGGGGTTGTAGGCTTGCTGCTGCTTGAGGTGAGCATTTACACACACACATGTAGAGGTGTGCATTTTTATGCAGAACGCAACTCAGCATAAGTTCTCTATCACACAGCTTTTTGGCCTTTTTCTAGTCAGTGGGGATTGTGCTAGTCGTTGTAGCCTTGCTGCTGCGTGAGGTGAGGAGTCCAGTGAGAATAGAAGGGAGAGGGCAGTGAGGTCCGGTGGGTGGTGTTTCGCTCTCCTCTCCTTTCTTTTCTCTTTTCCTACCATGCCCTCCCAAAACACCTGTTTTTTCTTGAGAACTTGATGGGGTCGAAGCTTTTTCGAAGAGTATATTCTTCAGTTCTGTTTTGTCGAATTGAAATTCTCTCTTTGTCCAGTGCAAAATATGTTGTCCAGTGCAAAATATGTTGTCCAGTGCAAAAAATGCTATGTTTCCCTACTCATCAACACCACTATGTTTCCCTACTCATCAATACCACTATGTTTCCCTACTCATCAACACCACTATGTTTCCCTACTCATCAACACCACTATGTTTCCCTACTCATCAACACCACTATGTTTCCCTACTCATCAACACCACTATGTTTCCCTACTCATCAACACCACTATGTTTCCCTACTCATCAACACCACTATGTTTCTCCCCGCACTACTCTGCACTACCCCTCACTACCCCTCACCACCCTTCCACAGGTCCCTCTGGATGCTCTTTTCTCCTTCGCTTCCTCTCTCTCTGCGTCTTCAACCCAATCAGTGCTTGCCACGTTGCCTCTAGACAGCCCACTCTCTCTTTTAGACATCACCCCTTCCCTCACTGATTCCACTGTCGCTTTAGCAGCAGCAGGAGCAGCAGCTGAGGCTACAGCAGTAGCACCAGCGGCCCTTGCACTGACATCACCAGCAGCAGTAGCACTGGGTGTGGGAGATTGGCAGCTGTGGGAAAGTGGGGAGTGGTGGATGTTGCTTGCTGCTCAAAGCATGGGTAAGGAGGAATTGAATGCTTGAAGGAGGAAAATGCCTGGTCCAGAATTTTTAAGGCTGACAAGAAATGTTGTTGGTACAATGCGAGGAACGCCTGTTTGTTCTACACAACGTTTTTCTCCTCTGCCACTCTCCTGTTTCTGTTAGGCACTTCACGTAATTTTCCTCCCAATTATTTCTTCAATACTAGTCTTCTCCGCTTCGCATTTTTCAAAATTTGATGCTTCTTCCCATTTTCGATGCACCTGTTTTGCCCTGTTTTTTGTGCACCTGCTTCTCACCATTCCCCTTTCAATCTAGTGGTTCCTCATATTAGTGTCATTTTCTCCCTTCCCTCATCCCTCTCATTCCACTCACTCCTCACTCCCTTCACTCCTCTCTCCCTCTATCCTCTCTCTCTCTCTTCTCGCTCCTCCCACTCTTCTCACTTATCTCACTCCGTCCACTCCTCTCCTCTCATCCCTCCTGTCACACACACCTCTTCCATGCCTTTCCCCTCGGACCAGCCATCGGCACAGCCATGATGCGGTGGGTCTCGCTTCTCACTCCTCCCACTCCTCCCATTCATCTCACCACCTACTCCGATCACTCTGTTCACTCGAATCACACCTCCTTTGTGCCTCTCCCCGCTGACCAGCCGTCGGCACAGTCATGGTGCGGTGGGTCTGCAGGCACTGCGATCCCATCATGGCCACTGGATGGGTACGAATGGGCCCTATTGGGGGTTATGGGATCAGTTTGTGAGGTGCTGGAAAATCTTGGGGGTATGGGTGGAACTACGGTGAGATTTATGTGTGTGGTGGGTCTGCAATTCGTCCGATCCCATTATGGGTAAGCATAAGTTCAAGAATGGTATGGTGTGCTTGAGCTATTAGTTATTGAAGGGGAGAGAATGGACAGGCTCAGCCACATACATGACCTGACACACAGTGTGGTTATTGCACTTGGTGTTCAGGGCTGTTTACTAGATGTCACACTATATTACTGAGCTCGTGCCTTCTGTCCCTTCAGTTCATTCTTGGTTTCTCCTTCGTCACCCCATTGTGTTCTCTTTCGACCCACCGTCACCCCATTCCCCATGCCCTGGCAACAGCACATGGTGTTGGGAGGCATTCCTCTCCTGTATCTTTCCTTCCAGCAGCATGATCCAGCAGTCTCTGGTGGCCTTGCTGACCTTTCCCTGCTTGATTGGACCTCCTTAATGTACACTTCAGTCTTCGGAAGTGCAATCAGCTATGGAGTGTTCTTTTACAATGCAAACAAAGGTGAGAGTGTGACTCATTTGAACTCAGCTTATCATGTTTCAGCCTCAAACCGCCACATCAGGGTTGATCTTTTCCTCCCATTTCACAAATTCCAGTCTAGTTGGCTGTCGTTGTGATTTTCACTTCCCTTTCGGTTGCATCTGTATTTTATTTGTTCCAATGCAGGGAACCTTACACGGCTGAGCTCTTTGACTTTCCTCACTCCTGCATTTGCTGCTTTCTTCGGGTATGTATGTGCCATCAGGGTTGGTATATTACTGCAGCTGGTCTCCCAAGTTTCTCCTCCCAGCTAGTTTTACTTCATGCTCAGTGCTTGGTCTCGTTTTAGTTCCTGTGTTGATCTCATGGCCCGAATCGCTTGTATGTTGCCTGTCACTCTTCTTGCAGGTTTATATTCCTCGGCGAAACACTATCCCCACTGCAGTTCTTTGGCGCTGGTGTCACACTGGTTGCTATCTACCTTGTAAATGCTCGCTCTCAGCAGAAACCCTAGGTCATCTGCAATAAAAGTTTTTTTTTCAACATTCAGTACTCTGCAAAAACGTGAAGCTCATCTGGAGCCAGTGTACATTCTCCCTTATGGAAAGGGCAATCAAACAGCCCTTACTAAAACTGTGCCTTGATCATTACACTGTTTTGACAACCCTGTAATGCCTTATATAGCTAGCTGCACAGAAATAGTACCCACATGTCGACTGACACCTAAACTTCGAGCGTGTATTCTGAGGTTAGTATAGGGAGGTTAGTATAGGCGGGTTAGTGCATGTATGGCAATATGGGAGAGGTGGGTCTTGTACTAGCGAGAGGGTATCAGGCAAGAATTCTGGTGTCAAGCCTTGATGGATACAGCCCTGTCCCTCTCTGAACGAAGATATGCTTCAAACTTTTCAAGTTGCCTCATGAAGCCATAATTAGGTTGTGCAATAGGTCGGCACCTCTTGACGTGTGCAAAGGCTTCTTGAAAACTGAGCCCTTTCCTTGCCATCAAGTACGCTATGACCACTGTCGCACTTCTGGACATGCCTGTGAAATAATAGTTTGTCATGGAGATGAATGATTTAGCAGACAGTGGAAGAAGGTAAGTGGAGGGGAAAAGATGCTTAAAGCCCAGGACAGAACAACCAGGCCAGGAAATCATCTGAAGAACAATGGGTACCGTACCTGCTACACAATGAACAAGGATGCCGCCTGATTTGATCCCTTCGTCAATGGCTTTGAAGCACAGCTCGAAGTGTGCAACTATGTTAACATGAGACGAGTCTATGATCGAAACCTCGGTGTACTTGAATGCGCCAGGGAACTTAGGAGGGCCTACGTTGGACGCAATTGTCAGAATGCTCTTGATGCCAAGCCCATCCAATAATTCTCTGCAAGGATGACGTCAGCCAGCTTTAGACCAAAAACGCACGAACAAGGGGGAGGACTTCGAATAAACAGGAAGAACCTGCCAAACCACGAATCAGTTCCTCGTTCAAGCTTACTTGTCGGAAGCTGAATTCAAATTTCCCAAGTAGAGCTTATCGACAATCAGATCAGGAGGCGAGTGGAACAATGATGACGTGGTGATAGGAGTGTACGGAGGTCTCCACGGGGTCGACATATTCCAAAGAGATTCGTGCTGGACGTGCACCTTGCTACTAGTCCTCCGCGACTGAGCGAATCCGCGATCAACACATGGGGATGGACCACCCAAAGAACGACGCATCCATCCGTTGACTGTGATGAATTACCGTTTAATGTCACTTAAGTGGTGTCGTGATCTTGCACTAAACAATGAATAAGCAGTGACGGGCATCACACGTGCTGGATGTCACTGACTGCAGGTTGCATTGTAGGAAAAAGCCTGAATGAAAGCAAAACGGAGAGAACTGGAACCCAAGGAGAACGCTGGAAGTACCACTCATGCCATTCCCATCAAACAATCGATTCACCATCTGACCCATGTCACCCACCCACCATATCAATCATCTTTGGCAAGGTTGCAAAAAGACACAGAGCGGTGGAGAGGCATTTCACAGACTTCCCTGGCCAATCCAGCACATTTCTGTTCAGTGCGCCACGGCGCACGATTGGACGCGGCAAGTCAGCACAAGAATCTCCCGCCACTGTACCCCTAAAAAAAGTACAGCAAAGCTGTATTAGGCAGTGTAAGTGCAACTTAATGTAGAAAAACTCATACAAGCGTTTCTGTAAGGAAAATTCCTTCTCCTTCGCATCCCTGCTCAACGCGTCCATCACTGTAGCACCACAGTCAGCACCGTTACCACTCGCAACCCTCGCATCGAAAATCCGCCCGCCACCTTCGCACATCACACCCCGACCTCACGGCTCGGCGGGTAACCCGCGCTCCGGGCCTCCGCTTCGACACTTTTCCCAACCTCAGTCCCAGGCCCGTCGCGCGACAACCACAGTCCATTACCGTTACCACTGTAGTTTCGCTATATATTCTTCGCTCATGCCTTCGCTCATTGTACTCTTGCTTCGATAGTGCAATTCTCGTTCGTTCACTCAATTACACTCGTAACGCTTGGTATTCAGAGCCTACAATCTCTTCTCGGACCGCACCCACACCTTCGCTTCCCCACTATCTCAATTTTTTGGGGGGGTAGACGTCTCTCAGCGACACAACACCGCCGCTCGTAGTGCTCTCTCGTAAGCACGCACGGCCACGACCGAGGCTCTCGCTGAGCTCGCCCGACACCCCCGCCATGGCCGAATTCACACTCGCCACATTGACGCAGGAGCAGCTCGACCGTCTGGTGCGCCAACTTGAAGATTCGGCGCTCGAAATTGCGACGCTCACGGCGGAACGTGACTTCGCGTGTCAGCAATCAACGATGAACACTCCAGCGCCACCACACGCACCGACAAATGCATCTGCACAATCGGACGAGCCGATCGTCATCTCGTCCGGCACACCAACACAAAACAACAGCGTGGGATAGCGCTAAGGCGCAGCCAGCAATGGCGCCGCCCAGCCGATGCCTGGCATGGGAGGAAACAGGGTCGCACCAAGCCCGCGGGAGCCTCGCGAAGCCCGTCAGCACGTGGAGTTCGCGGCGACAAGTGGAGAACAAGCCATTATGGCACCAATGCCACTCAAGCCGCAACGCCCGCCCTGCTTCGACCCGAGCCAGCGTGGAGGTCCGACGGTGCAATCGTGGGTCTTCACGATGAACATCTTCTTCGACGCGAATAACGTTGAGTCGAACGCAGCGAAGATTCGGTATGCCGTTTCGCTGCCAAGGGGCTCCGCCATGGACTGGTGGCGAGTCTTCGTGACGTCGCCACGCGCCTACGAGCCACTGTCGCAAAAGGAAGGGCCCACAGGCCCAGCTGTCACCTGGAGTTCATTCTGCGAGACCGCCCAATACAGCACGTGGGATGCGTGGTGCGCAGGGCTTCGGGCCTTCGAGCCGATCGCGGCTTCTATTTCGACGCGTCCGAGATTGCGCACTTGGCGGCAGATCGGATCAGTTCAAGACTATACTGTTGGAATCTAGCAGCAGGAATGAGTGCATTGAACAGAGATGTGGGTACATATGCTAACCCTAATTTAGGTTGTACCCCTTATGGACTACCCCACTACAGCCTGCACACCACAAGCATTATCATAGTTTGACACACCCCCATAGGCAAAGTGGGGGAGAGCAAGGGGTCACAAGACCAGTCAAGAGAAGCAAATCAAGCTCAGGGTGGATCACAACGTCACCACACACACTGAGCACAAGCAAAGGGCCAAAAGGCCAGTTCACATGCAGAGGTATATATGCAACAACAGCATCACAGTGATCTCTACCTAGCAAAGCAAGCAAGCAGGCATATATTTAGATCACAGTACAAACAAGGTCTACAGCAAGTGAGGAAAAGTGGGCACAAGGCCTAACAAAGTACAAAAACGCTAATGATCACCAAACGGAAGTGCCTTGGTGAATATATCAGCAGTGTTGGCCCTAGTGGCCACATGAGCAAGACGAAGCTCACCTCGCTGCTACAACTCTCGAGCGAGGAAGTAACGCAGAGCGATGTGCTTCGTTTTGTGCTCCAGACTGAGCTCCTCACACAAGGCAATGGCGGCCTTGTTCTCTACGTACAGCACTGGAGGAGAACGAGGCCGCTCTCCCAGGTCGGTCAGCAGGTAGGTGAGCCAGCGTAGCTCCTGTGCAACCATGGCTGTGTCACAATCTCAGCCTCACAACTGGAGCCGAGAACAGAAGACGAGCGAGTAGACCGCCAAGAAACAGAGCCAGAGCGAAGGCTAAAGGTGTAACCCTGTGACGACCGCTGTGTAGCTAGGTCGTCAACCCAAGAAGCGTCCGAGTGCCCAATGAGGACAACTGGGCTCCGCCCTCCAAGCACGAGCCCCATGCCCGATGTACTGCACAAGTAGCGCAGTACCCTCTTAGCAACAGCCATGTGCTCCAGCTAGTGCCTACTAGGAGCCACGTAGCGAGCGAGAAGACCAAGAGGGTACGCAAGGTTAGGACGAGTGCAGGTCATCAGGTACATGAGGCAGCCCACTAGCTTTGGGTAAGGACCACTCGGCTCTACGGACTCGTCCGAAGGTGGAGCTGAGAGCGAGTGACTTGTAGCCAAAGGAGTGTGCTGTGGCGAGGACCAGGTGAAGCCGAAGCGCTGAAGGACCTGCTGCACCATGTGTGACTGAGTCAGGGTAATGGTGCGGCGTGCTCTACAAGCCAAGGTAGCTACGCAGCTCACCCACGTCTGTGCACGTATGTCTCTTCTGCAGCTCCGACTTCACCAGGGCGAGAGCCTCAGTGTCCGCAGTGGCAAAGACCAAGTCGTCGACGTACACGAGGATGTAGAATGGCGGCAGCGAAGTGTCGGTGCGCAGAAACAGCGACGGGTCAGCAGTAGAAGGCGCGAACCCAAGTGCCGCAAGAGTAGTCCTCAGTGTGTCGTGCCACTCACGTGGCGCCTGGCGGAGACCGTATACCGGCCGCCGGAGGCTCCACTGGGTACCAGGAGGAAACGACCCAGTGAAGCCAGGTGGGCAGCGCAGCCAGATCTCCTCGTGCAGGCTGCCCTGCAAGAAAGCTGTGCTGAAGTCAAGAGAGTGAAGCTCGTAGTCACGCTGAGCGGCAACGTGAAGAAGCACCCGAAGAGTGGTCATCTTCGGGGTGGGGGAGAAGGTCTAGAAGAAGTGAACTCTCTCACGCTGACTGAAAACTCGAGTAACGTAATGAGCCTTGAAGACAGGCGGAGAACCTGGCGGCCGCTTCACCCTAAAAATCCACATGCCACTGACGATGTTCACCCCAGAAGGGGGAACCTCCTCGACGTAGGTGCCTGTGGACTTCCAGGATGCCATCTCTGCGTCCATGGCTGTCTGCCACTGAGAGGAGTACTCACCCGCGATCGCCTCAGCGTAAGAGCGCGGGGTCGGGATGACTGGAGCATCCGGGTCTCCCTCAGGGGCAAGCAGCATTGACACGAGATGAGGCGCAGCGGTTGCAAGACACTCAAGGTCCTCCTGCCTGTCCTCAAGGACGTCCGTGCCAAGAGCACACTCACCCCCGACGGACAGAGGACAGACAGACTGAGACTCAGCAACAAGACTAGTAGCGTAGTCTAGACGACAGGTAGCAGCAAAGTGAACAAGCTCAGCGACTAAGGCAAACGCAGCAGCTGACTCAAACGACGGGTCACTGACAACTGTGGCTAGCAGACGCATGACAGTAGGGTGAGCAGCACAGGTGCGGTCAGGCTCAAGCTCAGGAACGGTAGGCAGAGAAGACGCAGGAGGGGACGGCGGGGGAACACGCTGCGGAGGAGAGGAAGGATGACGAACTACAAGGTGGGTGCCGGGGACAACCGGCTGACGCGAATGAGGAACACGACGACCGAAACGACCAGAACGGACAGGCGAGACAGGACGCGACGCAGGCTTACGATGCTCAGTAAATCCCCCTGACTGCTGAGTGTAAGGAGAAGGAGCAGGCAGCGGTGAGCCAGGCTGTAACGGAAGACCAGGAGACGAAGGGAGACTAAGAACCTGGCGAAGTACAGAGTCAGACGGTGGCTGAGACGACGGAGGCGGCGGAGCAAAGAACAGGCGCGGATGTGCAGTGCCACCAGCACCAGCAGCTCCAGCACCCCCAGCAGCTCTAGCACCTCCAGCAGCACCAGATCCCTCAGCGCCACCTCCTCCAGGACCAGCTCCACCAGTAGCAGCACCCTCAGAACGAGCACCTCCAGTCCTAGGGTCCCTAGCCTCAGTGTCACCAGCAGCAGCACCCCCAGAACCAGGGTCTCCAGCAGTAGCACCGTCAGGCTCAGCACCTCCAGCCCCAGCAGCTCCAACACCTCCAGTACGAGCACCTCCGGGACTAGCACCACTACCAGC